AAGATGGGAGATGGGCCAGGTGCGGTGGCCCACACCTATAATCCCAGCACTTTGGGAGGCCAAGGCGGGTGGATCACCTGAGGTCAGGAGTTCGAGACCAGCCTGACCAACATGGAGAAGCCCCCGTCTCTACTAAAAATACAAAATTAACCGGGCGCGGTGGCACACGCCTGTAATCCCAGCTACTCAGGAGGTTGAAGCAGGAGAATCGCTTGAACCCGGGAGGCGGAGGTTGCGGTGAGCCGAGACTCGCCATTGCACTCCAGCCTGGGCAACAAGAGCGAAACTCCGTCTCAGAACAAAAACCGATGGGAGATGATCGCATAAAGACTGGTGATCAGAAGAGAAATCTGTGGCGGGGGCCCTAGGCACGATGGAGGGCCTGGTTTGGGGCAGGCGTGTCAGAGGATTTCTGGGGCCCTGGCTGGCAGTGTGGGCTGGGATATGGGAAGATGGGGTATTTCTTTTTTCTTTCTTTCTTTTTATTTATTTATTTTTTTTTGAGATGGCGTCTCGCTCTGTCCCAGGCTGGAGTGTGGTGGTGCAATCTCCACTCACTGCAAACTCTGCCTCCCGGGTTCAAGCGATTCTCCTGCCTCAGCCTCCCGAGTAGCTGGGATTACAGGCGCCCGCCACCACACCCAGCTAATTTTCGTATTTTTATTAGACGTGGGGTTCACCATGTTGACCAGGATGGTCCGCCCACCTGAGCCTCCCAAAGTGCTGGGATTACAGGCGTGAGGCACCGCACCGGCCAGTGGGATGTTTCTGTCTCATGATTTTGCCCTCTTGATGCTGAGAGTGAGAGAGGAGCACCCTGAACTGTGTGCACCCAGGAAAAGGAGGAGGAGGAGCTCACATGGGGGACCTTGTGCTGCCGTGTTGCTCTGTTCGGGACGCATGCTGTCTCAGGGTTGGGACAGAGGACAAGAGGTGAGGGAGCTGCAGAGGGATGGGCTGCAGACCCCATGTGCCAGGACCCCATGTGCCAGGACGGGGCAGCACCAGGAGGGCACCGAGGGGTGGGGAGGAAGCAGTGGGGGCTTTGAGGAGGCTGAAGGACGTGGTGTTGTGGAGCAGGAACAGGGGAAACAGGAGAGAGATAAAGACATGCGTTTGGGATGGCGCGGCCTCTGGTGATGACCAGGTCCAGGGTGTGCCCTCGGAGCTGAATGACTGAGGAGGAGAAGAGGGGAGGACCATGCATGGGGATCTCAGAGGCCAGGGTGCTGGTGAGTCAGCCCTGTGGAGGGTGAAGTCATGGAGAAGGGCAGGAGCTGGGGTGGGGGGGATGGTGAGCCAGGAGCTACGGTCAGCAGAGAATGAGGGGAAGTGACGGGGGGTGCAGCTGATGACAGCTTTAGTGGGGAAGAGGGTGGTGCCGCCAAAGAGCAGGACCCTCAGTGGGAGGGCAGGTGGCTGCGAGGGGTTCAGGCCAAAGGGACTGCTGTAGGGAGGGCAGGTGGCTGCGAGGGGTTCAGGCATGTGGGGTGGAGAGCAGTAACCGCCCAGGGGCAGTGGCGTGGCCAGAAAGCCAGGCTTCACATAAGACAGGAAGGGATATTCGGAGTGGACAGTGAGGTCTACAGCAAAGTTTGCCAATCACACAGGGCACAGTGGAAGGTTGGTGAAGGCAGAGGGGTCACTGGAATAAGTTATGGCATGTCATGGAAAAGGAGAGCTTGCGTGGATGGGCAAGCACGGTGGATGGTCCTGCTCAGCGGTGATGCAGGTGCTTCCTTTGGTGGTACGATGCCTCCAGGAGGAAGCTCCTACAGACTCCCCTCCCCACCCACCCTTCACCCATCCACTTTCCTTTCACCCATCCACCCACTCTTCCACCCATCCATCCATTCATCCTTCCACCCACTCATCCATCTATCCACCAGTTTACCCACCCATCCACCCATACTTCTATCCATCCATACATCCATTCTCCCACCCACCCACCCACACTTCCATCCACCCACCCACCCACCCATCTGTCCGTCCACCCATCCGTCCATTTGTTCATCTGATTCATCATTTATCCATCTGATTTCCATCCATCATCCATCCGACCATTCTTTTTTTTTTTTTTTTTTTTTTGAGACGGAGTCTCGCTCTGTCGCCCACGCTGGAGTGCAGTGGCGTGATCTTGGCTCACTGCAACCTCCACCTCCTGGGTTCACGCCATTCTCCTGCCTCAGCCTCCCAAGTAGCTGGGACTACAGGCACCTGCCACCACACCCAGCTAATTTTTGTATTTTTAGTAGAGACAGGGTTTCACCGTGTTGCCAGGATGGTCTGGATCTCCTGACCTCGTGATCCGCCCACCTCGGCCTCCCAAAGTGCTGGGATTACAGGCGTGAGCCACCGTGCCTGGCCCATCCGACCATTCTTATATCCACCCCTTGAACCTCCTTTGCACATCTCTGTCTTGGGCTTAGAAAGATGAATAAAATTGAGCCTCTGTTCAGATGTGATCATAAAACCACAATTCAGTCTTACTGTGTTCCAGCAGGAGCTCGAGGAGGAGGAAGAGGCCGGTGCTGCCTGAGTGATGAGGACATCTGAACCAGACCCTAAAGAGGGAGGCCCTAGGGAGGGAAAGAAGGAAGGAGGGATGTCTGAGGAAAAAGGACAAGTGTTCAAGACAGGAAAACAACAGGCTTTGGGAGGATGGGAGGAGGAGGGCCAGCCTCCTGGGAGAGGAAGCTGGAGAGAGGCAGTGGCCGGAGGGCAGAGGCCCAGCCCACCTTGCTTTATCTTGGGAACAGAGGGGAGCCATCCGAGGAAGCTGGGCTGACAGCTGCCGTACAGTGGAGCTAGACGGTGTGTGCTGGATGTGCACTCCTGAGAAGGGGGGCCACCAGCTCAACATGCCACACCTCAGTGGGGTGGGGATGTTCTCTCTCCCATAGTGAGGGCGTGGGGCTGGGCATAGGGCTGGGCATGGGGCTGGGCAGGTGGACACTGGACTCGAGCCTGGTCTCCTGACCTCCTACTAGGCCCACTGGGAAGGTAGAGTCCATTCGTCCCGACAGGTCCAGCCCCATGCCCATCATCCCTCCTCTGTAGTGCTGAGAAAAGACCACCGCCCACTCCGGTGCCCACATACATGCCCAGCCGTCTTCCTGGCGTGGACTGACTTTCCACTACTTGGAAAAAAATCCCCCTCCTTCAAAGCCCAGCTCAGCGGGATTCCTTCTTAGCTCCTCACCATCCGAGGGGAGCCTCCTCTCTGCAGGGATCCCCCAGCCCCTGGCCCAGACTCCTCTCGTGGCAGCCCCAGGGGTGCAATCTGTGGGCTGCCAGTGCCCAGGCCCTGCTGCTGTGCTGTGAAGGCTGGGCACCACCCAAGGGGAAGGGGCTGCAGAGTCCACAACCCCCTTCCGCCTCGGGGCCCCAGGGGCGGGCTGGCAAAGCAAAGACGTGGTGGTAGTCACAGCAGCAGACAGGCAGGCAAGGTGCTACCTTCTGAGGGTGGCTGGAGGGCCTCAGCGTCCCAGTCTGGACAGTGAGTCTGGATGTGTGGTTTAAGGCCCTTCCTGCTCTGGACCCATAGTGAAGTGGTGCCTGGAAGGGTTTGGCCAGGAGAGAGGAATAGAAGAAGGGAGAGGCCGGAGGTCGCTGACCAGTGACTGTGTTGCCCGTGTGAGGCCAAAATGAGATCTTGGCATGCAGCAGGTTCCTGGTGCCGCGTCCTGGGATGGCTTGGGGTCAAGGGTTCCCTGGGCTCCACCCCACCCCCATTAGCTTCAGGGCAGGACCCTGGGGCCTCAGGGAGCTGTCCTCGGGAGGACAGGAGAACTACACTGCTGCTGCCCCAAACCCCGAGGGACCCGCCAGACTGGAGGGGCCTGGGGGCAGAAGAGTGGACTGTGCCCCCAGGAGGACAGGGACCTGGGGGAGGAACAGGACGCAGCCCTGGGCCTCTGGCCATGCAGCCCTCCCTTCCTGTTGTCTCAGGATGCCCCCGGCAGGATGCATCTGCCAGAGTTCCAGACCCAGACCTCCCCTGGGGCCTGCTCCCACCCACACCGGGATCCCACCACATTCACACTCATGTGTGTACACACGCTAGCATGTCAGAGATGCACAAACATGCATGCTTGCACATACACACAAAGCCACACACACCACTCACAGGCACACACAGACTCACACACCCAGGCCTACAGGGACGCGCACACACACACACACGCACACACACACACCACCCCACGGGGAGGAGGGTGTGGGGACAGCAGGGCTGAGTCCTGCAGGACGGAAGGCCCAGCCCCGCCAGCCTACAGTCTCTGGCTGAGGGTGGGTTTCAGCCAGATGGGGCTGGTTTGTTTGTGTGTCTGAAGATCCCTGTGAGAAGGTCTGGGGGTGTCTAGGGAGGCCTGGGCAGGGAAAGCCCAGAGGAGGCTGGGGCAGCTGGCAGGGTCTGTGAGGGTGCAAGAAGCTGAGGAACCAAAGGACACCTGTGAGGTGACGCCATGTGGCCTGGGAGGGGGCGAAGCCACTGGCAGAGAGCAGGCAGGAGGGCGGAGGCCTGCGTGGTGTGGGGAAGACCTGGGATGTGCAGGACCCCCTGGGAAGCAGCAGGTGTAGGTCAGCAGGTGTAGGTCAGCAGTTGAGGAGGGAGGGCTTCGGGCAGCAGCACTGCAGAGGCCATGATGCCGAGGGGACGTGCTCCAGCACCCCTCCCCCTTCTCCTTCATGCCAGCTGCTCCACTCACTGGGGTCAGAGGTTGGGGTTTAGTCCAGGGGTGGAGTGTAGGTGAGGATGGCGGCTGTGGGGCGAGGCAGGGTGAGCCTATGGGAGAGGTTCATGGCTGTCTTGGGGCCTAGGGGCTGGTGCTGCTCACGGTGCACATGGTGAGGCCAGGCCACACCTCGCTGGCTGAGAACCTGGGCTGCTTCGGCCCCGCAGCGGGTCCACTCTTGTGATGCAGAATGCCCAACCATGCCCGATCAACGTCGTGTGAGCTCACGACCCAGCACCACGCTGACCCTGTCTCCCACCCCAGGCCTGGCGAGTGGCTACTCCATGACCCCCCCAACCTTGAACATCACAGAGGAGTCACACGTCGTCGACACCGGTGACAGCCTGTCCATCTCCTGCAGGTACGGGTTCCCTCTCCCACTGGCAGGCCAGGGAGGCTGCAGAAGCCCAAGGCTGGAGGTAGTGGCTGAGGACCCAGATGGCAGCCCCTCCCAGGGCAGAGTGGCCTCAGGGCTGTGGAGTCTCCCAGGCTGTGAGTGACTTTTGTCCTCCCCAGCCTCAACCATACACCCCCATCAGCATTTATTTCTTTTTTTTTTTTTGGAGACAGAGTCTGGCTCTGTCGCCCAGGCTGGAGTACGGTGGCGCGATCTCAGCTCACTGCAAGCTCCGCCTCCTGGGTTCACGCCATTATCCTGCCTCAGCCTCCAGAGTAGCTGGGACTACAGGCGCCGCCACCTCGCCCGGCTAATTTTTTGTATTTTGAGTGGAGACGGGGTTTCACCGTGTTAGCCAGGATGGTCTCCATCTCCTGACCTCATGATCCGCCCACCTAGGTGTCCCAAAGTGCTGGGATTACAGGCCTGAGCCTCCTTTTTTTTTTTTTTTTTAGATGGTGTTTCGCTCGGTTGTCCCTCCGTTCCCCCGGCCGGGCGGTCGGGGCTGACCCCTGGCCACCTCCCAGGTCATCTGCACCCACTCCCAGCCACCCTGGGAGCCACCCACTGGGGTGCCAGAGGTGGTGTCTCCCCACCTTCCCAGCTGTGATCCGAGGCCTGTGCTTGTCTGCAGGCCAGCCTGCCACACCAGCCCCAGGAGCCCAGTCGAGGCCCAGGGGCCGGGGAGTGCCCTGCCCCGGGCAGGGTCTGTAGTGTGCGCCCAAACCCTGGGCAGTTCCATGCTCCGGGTAAGACAAGCCTGGTGAGGCTTGGCCTGAGGGAGGCTCCTCAGGGATAGTCCCCATGGGCTGCCGCTGGGGCCCACCTGACCACTCCTGTCCTCTGCCAGGGGACAGCACCCCCTGGAGTGGGCCTGGCCAGGAGCCCAGGAGGCACCAGCCACTGGGGACAAGGACAGCGAGGACACGGGGGTGGTGCGAGACTGCGAGGGCACAGACGCCAGGCCCTACTGCAAGGTGTTGCTGCTGCGTGAGGTGCGCGCCAACGACACGGGCAGCTACGTCTGCTACTACAAGTACATCAAGGCCCGCATCGAGGGCACCACGGCCGCCAGCTCCTACGTGTTCGTGAGAGGTGAGACTTGGAGGCAGGCCAGGCTGGGGCAGGGTCCCGGGCAGCTGGGCCCACACCGACCGCCCCCAGCCTGTAGACCCCGGGCTGGTAAGAGGAGAGAACGGGGCCCCACCTGCTCCAGCACCGCCCAGCCCCATGGAGCCCTCCCCCAGCCTGGCGGCCACAGCCCTTCCCCAATACCTTGCTCCCTCTCCATAGACTTCCAGCAGCCGTTCATCAACAAGCCCGACACGCTCCTGGTCAACAGGAAGGACGCCATGTGGGTGCCCTGTCTGGTGTCCGTCCCCGGCCTCAACGTCACGCTGCGCTCGGTACGGCCCCACCCCAACCCCAGGATCCGGCCCTCCAGTCCCACCCTGGGATCCGACCCCACCCCCACCCCGGGATCCGGCCCCACCCCAACCCCAGGATCCGGCCCTCCAGTCCCACCCCGGGATCCGGCCCCACCCCCACCCCGGGATCCAGCCCTCCAGTCCCACCCCTGGGAAAGGCAGCTGCCCGTCTGGCCAGGAGCAAGGGGGCAGCTGGTCACTGATGGTGGCCTTGTCCCTCCAGCAAAGCTCGGTGCTGTGGCCAGACGGGCAGGAGGTGGTGTGGGATGACCGGCGGGGCATGCGGGTGTCCACGCCGCTGCTGCGCGAGGCCCTGTACCTGCAGTGCGAGACCACCTGGGGGGACCAGGATTTCCTTTCCAACCCCTTCCTCGTGCACATCACAGGTAACTGGGCTGTGTTCCATTCACAGTAGCGGGGCTGTCACTGCCTCGCTGGCCTCAGTGGGTGTCGTCCTGTGAGGGCGTGGGAATCACTGTGCGTGTGTCAACAGGCAATGAGCTCTATGACATCCAGCTGTTGCCCAAGAAGTCGCTGGAGCTGCTGGTAGGGGAGAAGCTGGTCCTGAACTGCACCGTGTGGGCTGAGTTCAACTCGGGTGTCACCTTCGACTGGGACTACCCAGGGAAGCAGGTGAGGTCGGCAGCCCTGCCAGGCTGTCCTGTCCCCAGGAGTCCCTGCCACTGTCCAGCATGCACTGAGCCTCTGTGTGGAGGATGTGCGCACCCAGGCCTGCCCCAGGTGCCCCAGTCTGATGGGCAAGTGTTCCACCCAAAGACGACTCAGGGCCTGGGTCCAAGGCTTCTGGAGCTGCCCTGGCTGGGCTGGGAGGGGTGCCTTTGGTGGGGTAGCTGTGCAGGAACCCGCTGCTGACGCGGGGCTTCCCTGGGTGCGGGCAGGCAGAGCGGGGTAAGTGGGTGCCCGAGCGACGCTCCCAGCAGACCCACACAGAGCTCTCCAGCATCCTGACCATCCACAACGTCAGCCAGCACGACCTGGGCTCGTACGTGTGCGAGGCCAACAACGGCATCCAGCGGTTTCGGGAGAGCACCGAGGTCATTGTGCATGGTATGGCATGGGTGGGTCAGGGTCAGGCGCCATCAAGCCTGGGAAACAAGGGTCCTTGTGCCATGTGGGCCTGGGCCCAGAGCTCATGGTGCACGTGAGCATTCGGGAGTCCAGCCAGAGGGAAGGGAGGGCCATGAGCGGAGGAGCTGCCCAGCTCCTGCACCGGCCCAGCTCCTGCATGGCCAGCCCCAGTCTACAGGTGTCTGGCTGCCGGGGCTGCAGGGGCCATGGGGGGAATCCCTGGTCAGTCAACGACGGGTCAGTCCTGGATTTACACTGACTTCTCCTGTCTGGCAGAAAAGCCCTTCATCAGCGTCGAGTTGCTCAAAGGCCCCATCCTGGAGGCCACGGCAGGAGACGAGCTGGTGAAGCTGCCCGTGAAGCTGGCAGCGTACCCTCCACCAGAGTTCCAATGGTAACAGCCCTGGCTCCCCTGACCCCACCGCTACCCTTCCAAGCCGAGGGGCAAAACAGACCACGGGGGAGGAAGGGCAGCGTCCTCGCCATCAGGACCTGCACGCTGAGACCAGGCATGGCAGGAGCCTCTCTCAGGAGACGCCCCAAGGAGCCCGCCCGTCATGTGGTATTCCAGATGGAAGGTCTATCTGTGCTCCTGCCACACCGGGAAAGGTTTCAGTACCAGCCTTCTGTTCCATGTGGGTGTGGTGGGCACATCGAGGGGCTTTTCCTAACTGCCTCCTAACGGCTGGATGCCTCTCTGCCTGCAGAGTCTCCAGGGCCTGCCCTGAAGCAGTGGCTTAGCGTTCCCTATGCCTCCTTCTAACGAGGCTGCCTCTCCCAGGACCCTCCTGCCAAGAAATGTGGAGATGCCACAGGGAACTGATAGATTGCCTGGGCTGGGCCTGTGCTGTGTGGCAGTGAGCAAGAGAGCTTCCAGGAGGCCGGCAGGCTGCTGGAGTCCCCGCAGACCCCCGATCTGCAAGCTGAATGAGGCTACCCTGCAGTGTGCCGAGGCCCAGGGAAGGGATGCCTCAGGGGTGGCTCTGCCTCTGCTGGCTGCTCCCTGCAGGCTGTGGGGGGGCATGGCACCCCTGACAAACACATCCACAGGCTGTCTGAGTAATCCACATGGCTCACCCATGGTCAGCCACACTTTGAGTCCCCATTGCATGGATGAGGAAGCAGATGCCAGGAAAGGGTATTCGTAACTGACCCCCAAGTCCCCAGGAGGGGTCTCTGCTCTGAGCTAGCCCAGGAGCCTCCTCCTTTTCAGCCTGGGCACCTCCCTCCTGGCAGGGCAACTCTTCCTGGAGCTGGGCATGCAGAGGCCCAGGGTTTCCTCAGCCAGGGCCCCCTGCACTGGCTGGGGGCTGGTCTCTCCTAGGAAGGGGAAAGGGTGTGCTGGCCCCGAGCCCAGTGTGACCCTCCCACTGAGGACACAGACTTCGGTGTCCGTCCAAGGCACCTGGTCAGTGCCAAGGCCCTTGGGGCAGAATCCTGAGGGCACTGGCAGATCCTGGAGCCTCACTCACAGGTGCAGCTCCTGGAGACTCCCGGGCCCTGTCCCCCACCCTCCAAGGCCAGCAGGACTGAGCCTGCTCTGGGCAGGTGGCAGCTCTGTTGCATCCAGGGTCTACCCAATCCTCAGGCAGCTGCCTCTCAGAACAGCTTTCCAGGATCACTCCTGCCACATCTGGTCCTCTACCTATGGCACCCACCCAGCCTTCCTGTGGTGCCCACTCTTCCTATGGCACCATCATGTGACGATGGCGAGCAGTGACTGGGTGGATGGTCTGGCAAACACATGGACAGACTGGTCCGTGGCTTCCAAAGCACCCATAGTGTGTCCAGCACGCTGCTGGCACTGTCCGAGTTAAACCTCACGACAGTTGCAGGGTGCATGTCATCTCCTCCGCTGAGGCAACGAAAGGGTCTCAGATCCGGCAAGTGGCAGACGCGGGACCAGAGCCACGCAGACAGCACCACCTCAGTTCCGCCCCGGCCCGGGCCTGCCTCACTCTGTGACCCCAGGCCAGGCAGCTCCCCTCTGGGTCCCTGCTGTGGTGTCCCAGTTGAGAACAGGTCCCTGCATCCCCTTCTCTCTTGTTCTCTGCCCAAGGGCTGTGCCTCTCCCGGGCCACACTGCGGTGTCTCTCTGGTCTGCCACACTCAGGACTGGGGCAGGCACCTGTCCAAAGGAGGAGTATCTCCATACAGAGTCCAGGCCACAGAGACAGGTTCCTGCAGGGGCCCCAGCACACCCTCTGGGGCTGAGACATCTGCTTCCTCACGTGTGCAGCAGACATGTAGGGAGCTGGGCGCAACTCTGCAGGAGGCAGCCCTGCCCTCGTGGGGCTCCCAACCCAGGGGGAAGATGAGCAGTCAATAGACAGAGCAAGGCAGGGGCAGGCCACAGCGTAGGACAGGCAGGCAGGCTGCACACCCCACCCGAGTGAAGGAGGCAGGGAGCCCTGCAGACTCCTGGCTACAGAAATGAGTGTCCCAGCGAGGCGGGCAGTGAGAGACAGGCCTTGGGGTGGGGGGTGGACAGCAAGAAGGCCACGTGTCTGGAGGGGCCACACACATGGCAAGGAGCTAGACTGCTCACAGGGACTGCACCTCCACTCGTTCAGATGTCTGTAAGAGAGGACAGGGTCTCAGGCCTGCCACATCTGGGCGCCCACCCACCCTTCCTATGGCACCATCACATGCCGATGGCGAGCAGTGACTGGGTGGATGGTCTGGCAAACACACAGACGGGCTGGGTGGAGGAGCCAGGTGTGTGGGATCCTCCTGGGCTGGGCTGGGCACGCCTGGCCGAAGGCTGTCTGCAGCCACAGGTAGGGAGAGAGAAGGCGCTGCCCCAGCAGGGACATGGTCATCTCGCCACTTGTGGAGAGATCACAGAGCCTTTGGGGCAAGGCAGGGGATGCGACTGCAGACCTCAGTGACCGATGCCCCTGAGCCGGCCGCCTGACATGGTTGTCACACCTGGGAGATGTGGCCTGGAGATATCTCCAGGGACTTAGGCCTTCCCCTCGCAGACCAGTGTCTCCCGCCCTACCCTGCACTCCTGCCAGCCCCTCCCTCCTCCTGACCGTGTATTTGGGGCCGGGGGCTGGGGGTGCCAGGATGAGGTTGGGGTTGAGGTGGGATCTGTATGGGCCCTGACCTCCTTTCCCTGGCCAGGTACAAGGATGGAAAGGCACTGTCCGGGCGCCACAGTCCACATGCCCTAGTGCTCAAGGAGGTGACAGAAGCCAGCACGGGCATCTACACCCTCGCCTTGTGGAACTCCGCTGTTGGCCTCAGACGCAACATCAGCCTGGAGCTGGTGGTGAATGGTAGGCCAGGGATGGGAGAGCACACAGGTGGGCGGTGGGCGGCATGGCATTGGAAGTCAGCTGACCGGCCATCTGCTGTGCCCCCAGTGCCCCCCCAAATACACGAGAAGGAGGCCTCCTCCCCCAGCATCTACTCGCGCCACAGCCGCCAGGCCCTCACCTGCACGGCCTATGGGGTGCCTCTGCCCCTCAGCATCCACTGGCACTGGCGGCCCTGGACACCCTGCAAGATGTTTGCCCAGCGGAGTCTGTGAGTACAGCTCCTACGTGTGGCCCAGGCCCCCTGCACAGCCACGGCCCCCGCCCCCAGCCTCCGCCGTGAGGAGCCCTCTTTATAGCGCCCCTCACCACCCAGGCCTTCCCTGTACCCCTCCCCAGGGCCCTGCTCTGAACTTGAACCCTACCTTCAGCTATAGCCAATCCCTGGCCTCACCGTGCCTGAGTGAGGCTCAGAGCCTCCCTTGCACCCCTCCTCCACCAGCTGGCCAGGCTGGACAAAGGATGGGTCCGGCCCCCACCCACCTCCCTCAAGAGCGAAGACCTCTGGACACGTAATTGCATCATCTGGAGGGAGGAGGAAGCACGTGCCTCTGAGCACCCAGCAGGACACCTCCAGTGGGGCAGGGGTCTGGGAGGGTGTTATCTGAGCCTCTGGGATGGTTGCACTGAGCCCCACGGCACACCGTGTGTGCTCACGTGCCTCAGCTCATCTGTGCAGCACTCACATCACCCCCTTATAGACAGGGAAACAGGATCAGAGAAGGGAGACGGCTTTCCCAGGGGCACAGCTGTAAGCAACAGGACCAACCCACCTGCTGGGCCATGCTCCCCTCACCCACCTGCTGGGCCGCGCTCCCCTCACCCACCTCACCCACCACCTCCCTCAAGAGCGAAGACCTCTGGACACGAATTGCATCATCTGGGAGGGAGTGGAGAGCACGTGCCTCTGAGCACCCAGCAGGACACCTCCAGTGGGGCAGGGGTCTGGGAGGGTGTTATCTGAGCCTCTGGGATGGCTGCACTGAGCCTCACGGCACACCGTGTGTGCTCACGTGCCTCAGCTCATCTGTGCAGCACTCACATCACCCCCTTATAGACAGGGAAACAGGATCAGAGAAGGGGAGACAGCTTTCCCAGGGGCACAGGCTGTAAGCAAACAGGACCAACCCACCTGCTGGCTATGCTCCCCTCACCCACCTGCTGGGCCGCGCTCCCCTCACCCACCTCACCCACCTGCTGGGCCGTGCTCCCCTCACCCACCTGCTGGGCCATGCTCCCCTCACCCACCTCACCCACCTCAAGGCTCCCTCGCTTCTCCTCACCCACCTGCTGGGCCATGCTCCCCTCACCCACTTCACCCACCCGCTACTGGGCCGCGCGCCCTCTCACCCACTTCACCCACCTGCTGGGCCTCGCGCCCTCACCCACCTGCTGGGCCACGCCCCTCGCCCACCTGCTGGGCCGTGCTCCCCCTCACCCACCACCCACCCAAGGCCTTCACACCCCACCTGCTGGGCCGCGCTCCCTCACCTGCCTCACCCACCTGCTGGGCCACGCTCCACCCACCTCACCCACCTGCTGGGCCACGCCCCCTCACCCACCTGCTGGGCCGCACCCTCACTCCACCTCACCCACCCGGGCCGTCTCACTCCACTCACCCCACCTGCTGGGCCGTGCCCCCACCCACCTCATACCCACCTAAGTTAGCCGCGCCCTCACCCGCCACTCACCACCTGCTGGGCTGCGCCCCCCTCACCCACCTGCTGGGCCGCGCTCCCCTCACCCACCTGCCACCCACCCACTGGGCCGCGCTCCCCTCGCCCACCTGCTGGGCCGCGCTCCCCTCCACTGAGCGGGATGCCAGCAGGACAGATGGGTTTCACAGGACACTTAGACGAGCAGGGGATGAGAGGAGGGCGCCCAGGTGGGCAGGGCTTGAAGGCACTAGGGAGCCAGTGAAGGGTGTTGAGGAGTGGAGACCTGGCTCAGGTTTTCCTTTTAGCAAGAGATCCTAGTGTCAAACTGGGGCAGATGGGAGTTGAGAACCTAGATGGGAGATGAGGGTGGCCCCACTGGCTGTGGCTCTGCTGTGGTCAGTGGGGGTGGCTCAGTAGGGGTGGCCTGAGCCGGCCCCAAATGTCCAAGGTTCATAGGTATCCCTCTAGATCATGTGGCCTGTAGCTCGCTGCCAGCACCTCCAAATGTCCTTCCTTCAGGGTGTGCCACCTTTATGCTCTGTGCCCAGTGATGGAGCCCTTTGGGGAGTCCCTGCTCGGCTCCTCCACAGGGGCAGATAGGAGCCTCCCTTGGGGCCCTGAGGCCACCCCCTCAATCCTGGCAGGAGGCCAAGGCTGCTGGGGGTGCACACGCAGCCCAGCGGGAGGCGACAGCTCCTAAAGCAGGAGAGAGGGAGAGGCTGGGCAGTGGAGTGGACGCCTCCTGGGGCAGAATGGGACTGCGCTGCGCCTGCAGCCATGTGGGCAGATCCAAGGTGGCCTCTGCATGAGGGAGCAAGAGAAGCGGGACGGGGCGCACACGTGCGCGAGGGACAGTGGACACAGGAAGGTGGTGTCGGCAGCCTGTGTAGGACGGGTTGCCGGGTCCTGAGCCTGAAGGGTGGGAGACAGAGCTCCAGAAACAGGCCGGGCACGGTGGCCCACACCTATAATCCCAGCACTTTGGGAGGCCAAGGCCGGCGGATCACCTGAGGTCAGGGGTTTGAGACCAGCTGAGCAACATGGAGAAACCCTGTCTCTACTAAAAATACAAAAAAATTAGATGGGCATGGTGGCACACGCCTGTAATCCCAGCTACTTGGGAGGCTGAGGCAGGAGAATCGCTTGAACCCAGGAGGCGGAGGTTTCAGTGAGCCGAGATCGTGCCATTGCACTCCAGCCTGGGCAATAAGAGTGAAACTCCATCTCAAAATAAAAGAAAAGAAAGAAAGTCACCTTCCCATCTCCCTCACTCAGGCCCAAGGGCCAGCCTCGCCCACCATCCCATATGAGAAGGTGACTGGGTGTGACAAGGGCTTGACCCCGCCCCCGAAGTGGGCCCTTCCTGCCTGTATCCCTGACCTGCCCTTGCCTCTTCTGGTTCTGGCAGCCGGCGGCGGCAGCAGCGAGACCTCATGCCACAGTGCCGCGACTGGAGGGCAGTGACCACACAGGACGCCGTGAACCCCATCGAGAGCCTGGACACCTGGACCGAGTTTGTGGAGGGGAAGAATAAGGTACAGGCCAGCAGTGCTGCTGAGTGCCCAGGGAGAAGGAGAAGGGAGGAGAGAGGCGCCACTACTGCCGTGTGGTTTCCACCTGGCTTCCAGAGTGCTGGGCAGAGCGGCCGAGAGTGGGTGACCTTCCTGCAGTCTGTAGGCCTCGGCCACCCTGCCTGCAGAAAGGTCAGAGGGCCAGCCTCTGGCTTTGTGATGGAGGGCGGACCTCCGGCGGCTTCCCAGACAAGGAAGCTGAGATGCAAGGCCACCTGGCCAGGCCATGAACCCCTGAGGCCCACAGGCCCCAGGGCCAGGAGGGGACAGGGCTGGAGGCTGACCAGGTCTGCACAGAGGGCTGTTGAGCCGCTGGCGCGGCCTGGGGGCAACACCGAGAAGGGGGTACTGAACAAAGGCACCTACTTCCTCCAGTCACTTCCTGTTTTCCTACACACCTCCAGAGCCTCTTCCTGTTCCAGTCCTGGACAGGAAGTGCCCAGCTGGGGGTGGGGTGGGGGTGGGGGTCTTTGGATGGTAGGCAGGGCCTATGGCCCTTCCTCCTCCCCTGTGTCTCAGGCTTCCTACTCCCTGGGGCCTTGGTCCTTCTGGGAGCCATCCCCACCCCTCGCAGTAACCCTGGACCCAGGAGTTGCTGTTGTGGACAGTCCTGAGCTGAGGAGGGCATCTCACAAGGATCTCAGCAAGCAGCGACTGGGTTGGGCCTGACCCCATCCAGAAGTGACTGGCCTTTGCTGGACTGACCCTGGTGCCCCTCAGCATAGCCACAGACTGAGCCCAGTCCAGGCCAGAGGTCTCTCTGGTCCTGCCAAAGGCTGCCCTATGACGTCACCGCAGCCTAGGCCAGCAGTCCCATGCACTGTCCCTTGACTTTTCTGGGCAGCTGCCTCCCCCTGCTGCCCAGGGGCCTTCTCTTCCCTGCCTCACCATCCCTGGTCCTGTGAGTTTCGGTCTTCTCCAGTCCAAAGCCTGAGTTTCCCCCATGACTGTGGTGGGCACAGCGACCTTCTTGCAGAAGGGGAGGGCCCAGGTTGGGAGAACTTGGGCAGGAAATGGATCCTTTTGCCTGTGCTCTCCCAGACCGTGAGCAAGCTGGTGATCCAGAATGCCAACGTGTCCGCCATGTACAAGTGTGTGGTCTCCAACAAGGTGGGCCAGGATGAGCGGCTCATATACTTCTATGTGACCAGTGAGTGACCAGACCATCGCGGGCAGGCCTGGGTACAGGGTCAGGAGGGGGCAGGTTTGGGCGCATTGAGTTTCTGGGGTCCGTGGGGCACCCAGGAGAGAGATCCAAGGCCCACCAGTTGTAGACAGGAAAAATAGATTTGAGGGTCATCAGCATAGGGCCTGGGTGCTGGTGCACTGGGATGAATGGTGTCCTCTGTCCCCAACCCTGAGGTTCCTCCCTCGAGGATGCCCTTGGCTCACTGCAGCTCCTCCTAGCTATTCCCACTCCACTCTCCCCTTCCCAAGCCCTGGGACCTTGTGACTCACGTGTGAATTTTGCTCTGGGGAGAAGATCTGTGGCTTACTCAGATTTTCAAATGTACTAGTGACCTCAGGAGAGCTGAGCCCAGGAGAAGACGCCACTGGGTCCCAGAGTGTAAATCAGGGCACCAGCAGAGAGATGGAGCCCCAGAGAACACCTGGGGGCTGGGGAGGCCACAGGAGCCTGACCAGAAGGGACTAGAGAGGCAAAAGGAAATGGGCACATGGCACTGGGAAAAGCCAGGGAAGACACTGTTTCAAGCTGAACATGGGGTGGGCCATGGCAAGCTTCAGGAGAGAATGAGGGCTCAAGTCTCACTGAGTGGTGTGACAGAACTCCTGATGACCTGGGCTTCTCGGGGGTGGGGGCAAGCAGTCCAGCTGGGGCTCCTCCAGGACAGAGAGAGAGAGAGAGGGAAGGAGGCAGGAGGAGACCCCGGGGCGGCAGGTGGATGGGTGAGCAAACTCCCAGGGCAGTGTCACGGGCCTTCTTCCTCCCTCCACAGCCATCCCCGACGGCTTCAGCATCGAATCCAAGCCATCCGAGGAGCTACTAGAGGGCCAGCCCGTGCTCCTGAGCTGCCAAGCCGACAGCTACAAGTACGAGCATCTGCGCTGGTACCGCCTCAACCTGTCCACGCTGCACGATGCGCACGGGAACCCGCTGCTGCTCGACTGCAAGAACGTGCATCTGTTCGCCACCCCTCTGGCCGCCAGCCTGGAGGAGGTGGCGCCTGGGGCGCGCCACGCCACGCTCAGCCTGAGTATCCCCCGCGTCGCGCCCGAGCATGAGGGCCACTATGTGTGCGAAGTGCAAGACCGGCGCAGCCATGACAAGCACTGCCACAAGAAGTACCTGTCGGTGCAGGGTGAGGCTGGCCGCGGGGAGGGCGGGACGCGCTCTCTTCTAGCCGAAGCTGCCTCTGCCTTTGCCCCAGTGTGGCTCGCCCCTGGGAGGTCAATTCACAGCCCTGGCCTGCGGGAGCGCCCCCTCCTAACTATCCGCCTCCCCCTGCGGAGACGCGCCGCGCTCCCGCCCGGCGCACAAACCCTGAGTCCAGCTTTCAGGGATCCTTCCCTCCCTCTGCTCCCAGCCCAAAGAGGGTCCTCCTGCTAAGTGCAACTCCACTCAGTTCCTTCTCAACCCCTGCCCCCAGCCCTGGAAGCCCCTCGGCTCACGCAGAACTTGACCGACCTCCTGGTGAACGTAAGCGACTCCCTGGAGATGCAGTGCTTGGTGGCCGGAGCGCACGCGCCCAGCATCGTGTGGTACAAAGACGAGAGGCTGCTGGAGGAAAAGTCTGGTAGGGAGGGTGGCCCGGGCGAAGGGCAGGTCCGGAGGCCCGCGAGGCCAACGACCCCAAACCCAGGTGGACCCACCCCTCTACCCCACCCGCTGCAGGAGTCGACTTGGCGGACTCCAACCAGAAACTGAGCATCCAGCGCGTGCGCGAGGAGGATGCGGGTCGCTATCTGTGCAGCGTGTGCAACGCCAAGGGCTGCGTCAACTCCTCCGCCAGCGTGGCCGTGGAAGGTCCGGCCTCAGCCTGCACCCCTCAGCCCCCTTCCTGCCCCCAGTTAGCGCCTTCCTGTGGCCACTTCGGGCAAGTCGTGCCCACCAGAAGCGGCGCTGCCTGCAGTGCACCCTCTGCCACACACACATACACACACGCCGGCCCCTTTCTGCCCACGCAGGCTCTGAAGATAAGGGCAGCATGGAGATCGTGATCCTTGTCGGTACCGGGGTCATCGCTGTCTTCTTCTGGGTCCTCCTCCTCCTCATCTTCTGTAACATGAGGAGGGTGAGTGTCCCTCCCCTCTCCTGGTGGGGTCTCTCTCAGGACTCCCCCACCCTGGTCGCCCTTAAGATAAAGAATAAGGTGCCTGCCCTAGTTGACCTGGCAGCCTTGTCTCCTGGGTAGCCTCCCAGCCCTCCACCCTGGGCTCCAACCCCGCAGAGGCTGTCTGCCTGTTACTCCGTCCCCTCCTTGACTGAGAGCCCCGCAGGACGTGCCATCTGTCCTGGGCAAAGTTCTGCCCCAGCCACAGTGGTACGGCCAAGTCAGTGAGCTGCCCCACTCCTCCCTGTCCCGTCCCCGCAGCCGGCCCACGCAGACATCAAGACGGGCTACCTGTCCATCATCATGGACCCCGGGGAGGTGCCTCTGGAGGAGCAATGCGAATACCTGTCTTACGACGCCAGCCAGTGGGAGTTCCCCCGAGAGCGGCTGCACCTGGGTGAGGCCAGCACCAGCCTGCCCAACCCACACCTCCTGCCCGGCGCACCTGCTGCAGGCTGGAGTTCCTGAATCCCTCCATTCTCGAAACCCCCACCAGGAAGGTCTGCCTGGCCTGACCTGCCCCTCTGGGCGTGGGTAACCAGAGCCTTAGCCAGGGTTCCCAGTTCCCAGGCTCCCCGAGGTCACCCGCTGCCACCCTGAGCAGGGTGGATCTGCCACACCTACCCGGGAGGATGCGCGGCTTCCTGTCCACCCTCTCCCTCTCTTCCCGCTGTGGCTCCCACGCTCCTCCTGTTTGGCAGAGAGGCTCCCACGCTCCTCCTGCTGCGAGGCCTGTCCTCCTGGACCTCTGGCCGGGGCTCCCCTGCTGCCCACCTGTCTCCACCCTCACCCCATACAGCTCACCTGCAACTGGCTCCCTGCCCCGACAGGGAGAGTGCTCGGCTACGGCGCCTTCGGGAAGGTGGTGGAAGCCTCCGCTTTCGGCATCAACAAGGGCAGCAGCTGTGACACCGTGGCCGTGAAAATGCTGAAAGGTGTGCGGTCTGCGGGCGAAAGGGGCAGCCTAGCTAGTGAGGAGCAGCAGCTCTGGGTGGGCCGGTGGGCCGGCAACTCAGGAAGGGAAACTGAGGCTGGGAGCCAGTCTCATCCAAGATTCCACAGGGAGGCTGCGGGAGTCAGAGCCAAGGTACCACCTGAACCCCCTGCCTCAGTGGGGCCAGCAGGATGTCCTGGGGCCTTGGTACCCCTCCCCGTCCCCAGAGTGCTGGCTGTGCCTTAGCTAAGCAGCCCGTGGCGGGAAAGGGGGCCGTGCCAGGACTGGGGCCGACGTGAGGCCTGTGTCCCCTCCAGAGGGCGCCACAGCCAGCGAGCACCGCGCGCTGATGTCGGAGCTCAAGATCCTGATTCACATCGGGAACCACCTCAACGTGGTCAACCTCCTGGGGGCGTGCACCAAGCCCAAGGGTACGGAGCGGGGCGGCCCGCTGGGACGGCGAGACCCTGGGCGCAGGGCGCCGCGGGCGGGAGGGGCTGCAGGGCCGGCGCTGGGAGGCCCGCGGGGGCGCGGGTGCAAATGCGGAGCGCGGGTGCAAATGCGGAGCGCGCCTGCAGTGCGTCCCGGGTTCCGAATGAGCGTCCCGGGTTCCGAACGCACGGCCCGCCCCGTCCCGCCGCAGGGCCCCTCATGGTGATCGTGGAGTACTGCAAGTACGGCAACCTCTCCAACTTCCTGCGCGCCAAGCGGGAGACCTTCAGCCCCTACGCAGTGAGTGGGCGGCCCGCCGGGCGCGAGCTCTGCGCCTGAGCCTGCAGGGCGCCACGGGCGGCGGGGGAGTGGAGGCGCCTCTGCAGTGGACGCCTGGGCGCCCTCGAACCAGCTTCATGCATCCGCAGGAGAAGTCTCCCGAGCAGCGCGGACGCTTCCGCGCCATGGTGGAGCTGGCCAGGCTGGATCGGAGGCCAGGGAGCAGCGACAGGGTCCTCTTTGCTCGGTTCCCGAAGAACGAGGGCGGAGCGAGGCGGGCTTCTCCAGACCAAGACGGTTAGAGCCTGGCTTCTTCCCCTTTCCTAGTGCCTGACAGGCCCGGTTAGATACCATGATCAGGCACCCTAGGGAAACCCAGCCTGGGGCCCTCGGTGGGGGCTTTCATGGGAGAGTGTGGAATGGGCTCTGCCTTAGGAAGGGAAGACACCTGGGGACAATTTTCACACAGGTGTTCCACGATTGACTGGGTCATCACAGGCTGAATAGGAAATTGCCCTGCAGACCAGGCAGGCAGTTGAGGGCCAAGCAGCAGGTGCCAAGCCCCCACAGAGCAACAGTATTTACTGCTCTGGGAGTAGGATGTGGGTGTTCCGGAGGCTGAGGGGGCAGGAGAGGGGCTGAAATGCTTGTTAGCTGCTCCCTGGGGCTGGGTAGATGGAGGCGGTGGCGGAGGCGCCTCCTGAGCCCACCTCGCTCTGCTGTGCAGCTGAGGACCTGTGGCTGAGCCCGCTGACCATGGAAGATCTTGTCTGCTACAGCTTCCAGGTGGCCAGAGGGATGGAGTTCCTGGCTTCCCGAAAGGTGAGCTTCCCCTGAAGGCCCTTCAGACGGGGAAAGGGTGGGTGCATCCCCACCAGTCGCCAAGAAGTGCTTGGTTCAGACTTCACCCTGCAGGGGCTCTGAGGTCCATTAGCGTCTCTCCCACTTTGCAGAGGAGGAAACTGCCCAAAGCAGGGAGCTGACGTCCCAAAGTCTCTTGGCTGGTCAGCAGCAGAGTCTGTCGGACTCCATGACTTTCTCTGCTTCCCCACAATTCCACAAGCTGTCTCCATGATGAGTCCCGGAGATGGATAGAAATCCTTCCCCACAGGCAGGGCACCCCCACGGTCCCCACTGCTTGGGCACCCTGGAGTTTCAGGTGTGGGTGTTACCCCAGGGGCCTGCGCTGACAGCCCCCCTTGCGCCTCCCTGCACCCCAGTGCATCCACAGAGACCTGGCTGCTCGGAACATTCTGCTGTCAGAAAGCGATGTGGTGAAGATCTGTGACTTTGGCCTTGCCCGAGACATCTACAAAGACCCTGATTACGTCCGCAAGGGCAGCGTGAGTGCAGGCCATTGAGGAGAGGGAATGTGGGGCAAAATAGGCGATGGGGTGGGACCCCAGACTGCCTGTCCAGGAGAGGGAGTGCTGGCACAGGGTGATACGAGCTCCTTGGTTGGCCAGCCACCTGCCCAGCTGCTGGGGGACTCCCTGCCCCCAGGGGACCCTAGTGACCACCCCCCCCCCACAACTTAGGCATCCTGGGGCAAGGAAGTGGAGATGGGAGTTGACAAGTGGGGCCCCAGTGCTCCAATTGGAGCTTGTGCTTTGCCCAGTGCCATGGTCCATGCAGTGGGCCTTGACTCCCAGGGCCTGCCCTGTGGAGCCTGTGTGTGCAAGGCATTGCATGGCGTCTGTCCTAGAGATGGACCAGCTTGGTGGAGTATGTGGAACCCAGGAGGCGGAGTGTGTCTCATGAGTGGAGCTCAGGCAGGGCAGCAGGTGCCTGGATGAGCCTCCAAGGCGGGTCAGGGTTCCGCCCCTGGGAGAGGAAGGGGGTCAGAGTGAGGTGGAGGAGCAGGATGGGCCCAGGGCCTGGGCATGATGGGCCATCCAGCCCAGTGTGGCCGCTGGTTGGAGAGAAGGATCAGGTGTGCACTTACAGAAAGCCCCCTGACACCACAGGCTGGGAAGAGAGGGGAATAGGGGTGCTGGGGTGGAGGTAGAGGCCAGTCCAGAAGGGCCCTGGCCCTCAGGGCTCCCAGGTAGAGACCATGAGAGGGAGACAGAGCTGGTGGCAGAGATGCCTCAGGAGCCCAGGAGGAGGGCGTTGGGAGTGATGGCCCAGCTTCTAGGGTAGGGACAGTGAGTAGATGGAACGTGCTTGTCAAGGGAGATGGTGAGAGTGTGCAGGGGTGCGTTTCATCAGGAGGCTGGGTTGGGGGTCTAGGGCTGGAAGAAGGCCTGCGGTCTCCCCCGATACCCCTCCTCTGAGAGCTCAGGGGAAGAGGGGTCCCCGGCAGATCCAGGAGAACACCTTCAACCCAGGCAGAGGGCCCTGGTCGGGGGTGCCAGAGCGCCTGGCCTCAGCCCTCTCCTCCTATCCACCGTGGGACATGCTTCCCTCCGCCTCCCCAGGCCCGGCTGCCGCTGAAGTGGATGGCCCCTGAAAGCATCTTTGACAAGGTGTACACCACGCAGAGTGACGTGTGGTCCTTTGGGGTGCTGCTCTGGGAGATCTTCTCTCTGGGTGAGTGCAGGATGGGGTGCCGGTGGGGAGAGGAGGCGAGATCACTGGTGGCAGGTTACATGACCAGCCCTGCTGGAGTAAGGGACTGGGCACCTGGAGGTATGTGCCAGGTCGTGCTGAAGCAGGGGCTTTGTGGGCCACCAAGAGCCCCCCACCTCTCCCCAGCCTGGCCCAGCCTCCGAGAGGACTGCCTCCAATGTGGGCCACCCTCTGTGGGGTGCACGCTGAAGCCTGGGCCAGGGCTGAGCCTGTTCACGTGGCAGCCCCAGAGGGAACTCAGGGCTCAGTCAGCGGACGTGCCTACTGCAGGAGCTCCATGTGGGAGCGCAGGCCCCACTGCGGGCATGATGAAGTCTCCAGGCCAGGGTAGGGCAGTGAACTTGAATAACTTAAAACATCAGCAAGTGGCAACAGTGATACATGCTACTACGGAAACTAAAGGAGCAGGAAGAGTGTAGGAGGTGCGAGAGCTTAGGTCAGCCAGAGCAGCCCAAGGAGGGAGGTCAGCGATCCAGGACAGGGAGCAGCAGGGCTGGTGGGGAGCATCAGAAGCAGTGAGAGGCGAGAGAGGATTTGTTGAAACTGACCGCAGGCGGCTCCCCCACCACTGATGATCCGGTATCCATGATGTCTACTGTGTTACCAGTGCATGGATGCTCTTGGCACCCCTAGCAAGCAGGCGGCACAGTCCTCTTTTAACCAGATGAAGAACTAGAACTGGGGAGGGCCGCGACCTGCCCGGGTCCCAGGTAGCGCAGGATCGGATGAGCCGTCTCCACCCCACCACGGGGATGGGGGAAGGGACAGATGGGGTGACGTGGGGGGGCTTGCTCCCCACCCACCTCCCCTTCTTGTTGTCAGGGGCCTCCCCATACCCTGGGGTGCAGATCAATGAGGAGTTCTGCCAGCGGCTGAGAGACGGCACCAGGATGAGGGCCCCGGAGCTGGCCACTCCTGCCATGTGAGCCTCCCCATGGCCCTGCAGGTGTTGGGGGCAGTAAGCATAGGGGGCGTGGGGATTGTGGCCTTGAGAAGGTGGCATCAGGGAAGCCAGGGCCAGTAGGACAGGCCTGGGCACCACTCTCAAGACACACGGGTAGTCTGTGGCATAGCGGCAACGGGCACCAGGAGGGAAGGCTGGGTGCTGTCGGAACAGACAGAACCGGGTGTTCAGGGAAAGCGTCACCAGGAGGTGACGCTGGGCTAACACTTGAAGGAGGAACGAGGATAGCTGGACAAGGGTGGGGCACGTGTCAGGAGGAGGGCAGAGTGGGTGAGAGGGCCCAGGAAGGCTGGGGGACTGAAGGTGCTGGGGCGGGGGTGGGGTGCACGCGGTCCAGCAGCGCACGTGATCCTGCAGACGCCGTATCATGCTGAACTGCTGGTCTGGAGACCCCAAGGCGAGACCTGCGTTCTCGGAGCTGGTGGAGATCCTGGGGGACCTGCTCCAGGGCAGGGGCCTGCAAGTGAGCCCCTTCCCCACCCTGTTCTGCTATGGCCTTTGGCCCCTGCCCTGGCTCCCTGGCCCCAGCTGCCTCTCCAAGCCCCTCTAGGCTCTGCCCACCTCTAGGCTTGGGTGGTGCGGTCCTGGCTCCCTACCCACACCTCGTCCCCACACCCTTGCATCTTTCTGTTGAGCACACGCCCACTGCACACCTACGCTGCCTGTTCCAGGTGCTGTGTGGATAGTCAGAGCCTGTCCCTGCCCAAGGGGAATCCTAGGCTGGTCCCCACTGGCCTGCGAGGCAGCCCCTTCTCGCTGGCATCATCATGATGCATTCGTTCAGCTGGTCCCGGTTCTGTCCCCCACTCCACTGAGCACACGGACCCCTGACCTGTGTGTCCTGACGTCTCTCCCTCCCCACGTGGTGCTCCTCCAGGGTGGGGGATGGGCCTGCTCGTGACCCAGCTCAAAGTGGGGCCTGGAGCAGGGACCCGGGAGCGGCCTGTTGCCCGGGACTGGGGACTGGGGTGGGTGCTGTGGCTCTAGTTCCATCCAGAGAAGGTAGGAAGTGTTGACCCCAGTTCTGAGGCTGCAGGCTCAGCCGGGGACTGGAGGACGGATGATCCGGCCGAGCCCCGGCCTGCCCCACCTGCCTTATCCATAAACGAGGTACCTGGAAGGGCTGTTGGGAGAATTTGGTGAGGTTGTCACAGCCGGCATTCTGCTACCTTGACCCCTTACCTGTCGTGACGGCTGAAATGTGCTGGCTTCTGCACGAGCTCATTTCCTCCTTGGAGCACTCACGTGCCCGCATGGTCTGTTAGGACCCTATTTCAGGGCCCAGGAGCCCAAGCAGTCCCGAGTGCAGGGCTGAGGGCTGAGGGCAGCGGCTGGTGGTTTCTGGCCCAGCTGCCTCTCCTGTTCCCGCCAGGAGGAAGAGGAGGCCTGCATGGCCCCACGTGGCTCTCAGAGCTCAGAAGAGGGCAGCTTTTCGCAGGTGTCCACCGTGGCCCTACACATCGCCCAGGCTGACGCTGAGGACAGCCCGCCAAGCCTGCAGCGCCATAGCCTGGCCGCCAGGTCAGCTGTCCTGTGGGTCCAGGAATGGGGGGAGGAGAAAGCCATGTGAACAGGGTGCATTTTATCCCTCTGCGTCTTTGGGGGAAAGCAAATCATGCGACGTCAGAGACCAGTGTGCACGAACCCAGAGCACAGAGCGGCTTTAAATGACCCACTGCAGTTCCCCTCCAAGGCCATGTGACCTGGCTGCGTGCTTGTTTTTGAGTCCTGTCCACCCATCAGTGTCCCCTCACCCCAACATCAAGGGTACTTCTTTTTCTTTTCTTTTCTTTTCTTTTTTTTTTTTTGAGATGGAGTCTCGCTCTGTCGCCCAGGCTGGAGTGTAGTGGCACGATCTCAGCTCACTGCAAGCTCTGCCTCCCGGGTTCACGCCATTCTCCTGCCTCAGCCTCCCAAGTATCTGGGACTACAGGCGCCGCCACCATGCCCAGCTAATTTTTTGTATTTTTTAGTAGAGACGGGGTTTCACTGTGTTAGTCAGGATGGTCTCTATCTCCTGACCTTGTGATCCACCCACCTCGGCCTCCCAAAGTGCTGGGATTACAGGCGTGAGCCACCGCGCCCGGCAAGGGTGCTTTTCTCACGGAGAGGTGGAGTGGACTGTGTTTGGGCCAGTATTCCTCCCAGGAGTCTCTGATTATCTAAATCACTGACTAGTCTGGGGGTGAGTCCCCAAGAGTCCCTGGGAGGAGGGAAGGTCTCCAACTGAGGCATGGTCAGGAGGAGAACATAACTTAATTCCCAGAACTCTGCCCAGGCTCTCTTATCCCTGGCATTTCACACTCAGGATGGCTGTGCCGCCCACATTCACACCGGCATTGCTGAGATGCAGGCTCTGCCTCAGCACATGGCAGGGCTAGGCCTCGGGGACAACCACAGTGAGCTGGATTTTGCCAGGCTCCTTCCACCAACCCCGCAACATGTGCCTTAGTGCACACACGTGTGGGCAGGGCAGTCGGCAGCTTGCAGCCCCAGGGCTGCCCATCCCTGGGAGGAGCTCGATGCCCCACGGGGCTGGATGCCCCTCACTTCCCATCACAGAGCTCAGCAGTGGACTCGGGAGGAAACACGGCCCAGGGTGGGGGTGCACACCCAGGCCCTGCTGCTGAGGCTGTGGGGTAGACATCTGAGGCCAGGCCCACGGAGGAGCCGCTGCCAGCACTCAGACCCAGGCCCGTCCATACTCCTGCCCCAGGCTGGGGTCCTTTCCAGGAGAAGAGGAGGCACAGGGACAGCAGAGAGAACTTCGAGGAGAGTTGTGGGGGTGCATTCCTCAGTACCTTCTGATTTCTCCCCACAGGTATTACAACTGGGTGTCCTTTCCCGGGTGCCTGGCCAGAGGGACTCACACCCATGGTTCCTCCAGAATGAAGACATTTGAAGAATTCCCCATGACCCCAATGACCTACAAGGGCTCTGTGGTACTTCACATGAAGGGCAGGGGCTGTGCTCTCGGGTCAGGGCTGGGACCGCCTCGGGAGGCAGCCTCAGAAATTCGTAAGGCAAATGGCAGAAACCAATTGCAGGCTTTTTAACAGAAAAGACTATCATTTCAAAGTGCAAGTCCAGGCCGGGCGCGGTGGCTCACGCCTGTAATCCGAGCACTTTGGGAGGCCGAGGCGGGTGGATCACGAGGTCAGAAGATTGAGACCATCCTGGCTAACACGGTGAAACCCCGTCTGTACCGAAAATACAAAAAATTAGCCGGGCGTGGTGGCAGCGCCTGTGGTCCCAGCTACTCAGGAGGCTGAGGCAGGAGAATGGCGTGAACCTGGGAGGCAGAGCTTGCAGTGAGCCGAGATCGCGCCACTGCCCTCCAGCCTGGGGGATAGAGCGAGACACCGTCTCAAAAAAAGAAAATGCAAGTACAGGGAGAGCCTTGGGCACATTTGGGCCCTCCTACGATGCCACATCTCACAGCTGCTTTCTGTCCTATGCCCTTGTCACCCCCACACGAGGCCTCCCCTCCTCAGTAGTGCAGAAACCCCAGTGGAAGGACAGCTTCTCCTCCTCCTCGGTGGCAGGTTTGGGAGTCCTGGGCCTGGTCAGTGAGCGCTGGGCAGAGGGGCCCCATGGGAGCCTTTGGCCAGACCTCAGGGACCTGGGTTCCTGCCTTCAGGACCACTTGAAGACGCTGGGGGGCTCTGAAAAGATCGCAGTTTCCCTGCTGTGTGATTCAGAATAAAAACCACACCAAGCCACAGTGAAAGGGTAACAAAGCCCCCCAGGTCGGAGGCAGCCTCACAATGACCGTTTTTTGAACTACGAGCTGCTGGGTTGTGAGTCCTGTCCCTGGTTCTCCCGCGGCTCCTGCTCTTTGCACACTGAGCATAGGCTTGGCCACCGTGGAGTCCCCCAGTGTGAGGTGTCCACGCACCAGACACAGCCCCCGACCTCAGTGTCTGCCTCCGTGGCAGGAGCGTGTGACCCTCACCCTGGGATGAATGGACACCTTGTTTCCGGCTCCGTGTCCCAGGGACGGGTGTTAGGTCAGCCGCACCGCAGGGTCGTGCCGCGCTGTCCTGGCTGGGGGTGGCTGCCCTGCAGGAGGGCCTCAGGCGGGGCCCACAGCCTGGCTTGTCCTCTTCACGCAGGACAACCAGACGGACAGTGGGATGGTGCTGGCCTCGGAGGAGTTTGAGCAGATAGAGAGCAGGCATAGACGAGAAAGCGGCTTCAGGTAAGGGCTTCGTGAGCCTCCTGCACTGCGGGTGTTGACATTGCCTTCCCCTGGAGGAGGGAGGCTGGGGCCTGGGCGTGCCCAGCCCTCTTCCTGCAACCTCTCGTGGCTCCCTGTGACCTTTTCACATGTTCAAGGTGAGCTGCCCTGAGACTCCCCTCCTCACCTGGCACCACAGCAGCCCCTCCCTGTCGCATGCTGACCACCTGCGTGCCGGTCCCGACACCTCCCTGTCACCTGACAGAGCTCAGACGCTGTGTCTTTCTGACACGACGCAGGACCCGCCATGCCCAGGGCACACACACCCTCCTCCAGGTTGGGGAGGCTGTCCCAGCCCCAAAACCCCTGAACTTCATCCAGTGGCTGCAGAGCCAGGTAGATACTGTAATCTGAACTGGCTGGTATAGGGTCTGGTCCTACGGAACTTAGCGGAGCTTAGCGGGTGTTCTCCCCATCTGTGGAGATGAGAGATCGTAAGAAACAAAGACACAAGACAAAGAGAGAAAGAGAAAACAGCTGGGCCGGGGAACCACTGCCACCAAGATGCGGAGACCGCTAGTGGCCCCGGACGGCTGGGCGCGCTGATATTTACTGCGTGCAAGACAAGGGAGCAGGGTAAGGAGAGTGAGTGGTCCAAGTGATTGACAAGGTCAAGCAAGTCATGTGACTGTGGGACAGGGGCCCTTCCCTGCTAGGTAGCCAAAGCAGAGAGGGAAGGCAGCATACGTCAGCGTTTTCTTCTCTGCACTTACAAGAAAGATCAAAGACTTTAAGACTTTCACTATTTCTTCTACTGCTGTCTTCTAAGAACTTCAAAGAGGAACCAGGAGTACAGGAGGAGCATGAAAGTGGACAAGGAGCGTGACCATTGAAGCACAGCACCACAGGGAGGGGTTTAGGCCTCCGGATGACTGTGGGCAGGCCTGGATCATATCCAGCCTTCCACAAGAAGCTGGTGGAGCAGAGTGTTCCCTGACTCCTCCAAGGAAAGGAGACTCCCTTTCGCGGTCTGCTAAGGAACAGGTGCCTTCCCAGACACTGGCGTTACCGCTTGACCAAGGAGCCCTCAAGCGGCCCTTATGTAGGCATGACAGAAGGCTCACCTCTTGCCTTCTAGGTCACTTCTCACCATGTCCCTTCAGCACCTGACTCTATACCCGCCCGTTATTCCTTGGTAATATGAGTAATACATCAAAGAGTAATATCCAAAAGCTAGTGATTAATGTTTATGCTAATGATCAGTAATGTCCATGATCATCTATCTAATTTGTATTATGGCTATTCTTATTCTAACTATTTTCTGTATTATACTGAAACAGTTTGTGCCTTCAGTCTGTTGCCTCGGCACCTGGGTAATCCTTCGCCCACAGGCTGGGATGTATTTTGGCAAGAGAAATACCCACATATGCCTGTCCAGATAGAAAGTGAACTCTATTTGCTCAACATGATAGCCAGGGGAAAAACAGTTTTGGCCAACTTGAACATTGAAACTAAGCTATAGATTAAACAAAGACTTTAGTGTCTACTTAAAAGATTCACTTTATTTTTATTTATTTATTTATTTATTTATTTATTTATTTTGAGACAGGGTCTCACTCTGTCTCCCAGGCTGGAGTGCGGTGGTGTGATCTCAGCTCACCACAACCTCTGCCTCCCAGGTTCAGGTGATTCTCCTGCTTCAGCCTCTTGAGTAGCTGGGCCAGGCTGGAGTGCGTGTGGTGTGATCTCAGTTTCAACATGTAACCTCTGCCTCCAGGTTCAGGTGATTCTCCTGCTTCAGTTCTAGAGAAGGGATTACAGAGTACGCCACCATGCCCAGCTATTTATTTATTTATTTATTTATTTTTATTTTCATTTATTTATTTTTTTTAATTTTTTTTTTTGAGACGGAGTCTCGGCCTGTGCCTCAGGCTGGAGTGCAGTGGCGCCGATCTCGGCTCACTGCAAGCTCCGCCTCCGGCTCACCCATTCCTCCTGCCTCAGCCTCCGAGTAGCTGGGACTACAGGCGCCCACCACTGCGCCCGGCTAATTTTTTTCTATTTTTAGTAGAGACGGGGTTTCACCATGGTCTCGATCTCCTGACCTTGTGATCCGCCCACCCCGGCCTCCCAAAGTGTTGGGATTACAGGCGTGAGCCACCGCGCCCGGCCTATTTTTTTATTTTTGAGACAGAGTCTCTGCCGCCTCAGGCTGGAGTGCAGTGGCCGGATCTGAGCTTCACTGCAAGCTCCGCCTCCCGGGTTTACACCATTCTCCTGCCTCAGCCTCCCGAGTAGCTGGGACTACAGGCGCCCGCCACCTCGCCCGGCTAGTTTTCTGTATTTTTAGTAGAGACTGGGTTTCACCGTGTTAGCCAGGATGGTCTCCATCTCCTGACCTCGTGATCCGCCCGTCTTGGCCTCCCAAAGTGCCAGGATTACAGGCTTGAGCCACTGTGCCCAGCCTGTTTTTTTTATTTTTAGTAGAGACAGAGTTGCACCACATTGGCCAGGCTGATCTTGAACTCCTGGGCCTCAAGTGATCTGCCCGCCTCAGCCTCCCAGAGTGCTGGGATTACAGGTATGAGCCACCGCATATGGCTTATCAGCTGACTCCTGTTAGTACCTGGTTTTGGAAAATTAATGGTGGTCACGTTACGGAAATAGCTTTGGGCTAATTTTTCTTCACCAAACAGCATTTTGACCTGCAAAAAACAAGGTAATTAAGTCAAAGGTATGGCAGAGGATGATTGCCACGTAAATTCAAACTTCTGCACACCTTCGAAAAACAGCACAGCTCCTTGAGATCAAAGAAGGCTGCTCAGCCCGCGCCTATGGCTCAGCTAGGAGAGAAACTCGGTACACAGACCATGGGGTGATGGAGGAGACGGGGCTGCGAGGAGACCTCCCTTATCAAGTCCGAGGCACTGGGCAGCCATCCTGCTTCTGAAAGGGCAGCGAACCAGAAGGGAGTGCAGCTCCTTGGATGCTTGGTGGTAGAGGAAGAAGAAAGTTCCAGAAGATAAGGGTCCTAAGGAAGCAAGATAGTATCCAGAAGTCAGAAGAAGACAGATAAGCACACAGGATGGATTTGTGCGTTTGAGAAACTGCACCACCCTGTATCGGCAGCAGAGGGCACTGTTCTTTGTCCTCTGTTGATGATGAGCCAAGAAGAGGTTCCACAGGTCCCTGGCGGGTGCGTTCGCTTGGCATACAGAGTGCTCTCCACACAGGTGCAAGGAGAGGATGTGCCTTGTGGGGTGTGTGGGGAGCAGAAGGAGGAATCTATCTGTCTGGTCCTTCGCTGTCTCCTGTTAACCACTGGTTGGCACTCGCCCCATGGGGGATCACCTGCTCCTCACTCCTGGGTTACATCATCCAGCCCTTTCAGTGCCCACTTAGGATGCCAGAGCCCATGCCCATGCATGCGGCATTTCACCTGCATCTGTGGGCAGAAGGAGATCAGGAAACTCTGGGCTCGTGGTCACTCAGCGTGACTGCATGGAGCCAGTGGAAGGCCCAGCTCTGTTGGGTGAGAGACTGGCTGTCCCCCGGAGGCAGGATGATACGGAACGTGGATGGAGCCTTCAGAAGGAAGAAAGCAGTCAAAGGAACTTGAGATGATGCCAAAGATATAGGTTTGATGTGGCACTTTTAAGTGAAGAAATGTAGGATGCCACCAAAATCCCTAGTCCCACCCACAGGAGAAGTGGCTCTTTCTGTGTAGAAAATCCTAACACGAATAATCCTGAACCCCCAAAAAAGCACCATCCATACAAAGTTACAGGAACAAGACAGAACATTAGAGTTAAAACTTCCCAGTAGACAACGGTTTAAATGAAACAGGAAAATGAACAAAATCCTCCAACGTGAATTAAACATATAACAAAACAAGCAGCGGCACCATGAATCTGATATTCAAAATTTCAGAATAGAAATGGATGGACAATGTGATGATACAAATGAGAGCAGACTAAATTCAGGAAAGAAATGGAAATAAAACATAGATTCGGCCAGGCAGTAGCTCTCACCTGTAAGCACAGCACCTTGGGAGACGAGGCCTGGAGTTCAAGACCAACCTGGGCAACAGAATGAGACCCTGTCTCTACAAATAATTTTAAAAATTAGCTGGGTGTGGTGGCCCACGCCTGTGGTAGCAGCTACTCGGCAGGCTGAGGTGGAAGAGTTGCTTGAGTCCAGAAGGTTGAGGCTGCAGTGAGTCATGATCGTGCCACTGCAGTCTAGCCTGGGCAACACAGCAAGACCCCATTTCAGGGGGAAAAATAACTAAATCCTTTCTAAAATGAGGGCACGACAGGGACAATATGTATGACCAGACTGACAGTGGCAGACACAGAGGATGGATGTGAAAAGAAAACAAAACTGAAATAAAAGAGGCAAAAGGATCAGAAATAAAGTGACAGGAATAGAAAAGATCCAATATATATAAAATTGGGAGTCCCAGAGGAAGAAGATGCAAACAGTAAAATAACTAGTATTTTAAACTTACAGTCAAGAGTTTTCAGTAGCACCAGGCAAAGCACCAAACAAGTAATCAACATCTTCAAAAAATGCAAAGAAAGCACTGAGGATGGTGCAGGATGGAGCAGGCAGAGAGCAGGGCAGGGGCAGAAACCACCTCCTAGGCCAAGGCGAGAAGCTTGGATTTCCTTCGTGGAGTGACGGGAAGCCGTTGGAGGGTGTGTCAGGAGGAGAATGACACAGTGTAACTTGAAGGACCTCTCCGAAGGGTGGAGCACCAGGGGGCCATGGTGGAAGCAGAGCAGTCCACAGGAGGGTGTCAGAGCCGGCAAGGATGCAGCGGACTCCGCAGGAGGGGCCAAGAATGGAGAAGCCCGCATGTGTCCTGGAGTTACAGTGGGCAGGACTTCTGGATGGATGGGATTGGATGGATGGGATCTGGATGGATGGGATTGGATGGATGGGATCTGGATGGACGGGATCTGGATGGACGGGATCTGGATGGATGGGATACGGATGGACGGGATATGGATGGATGGGATATGGATGGATGGATATGGATGGACGGGATATGGATGGATGGGATATGGATGGATGGATATGGATGGACGGGATATGGATGGACGGGATCTGGATGGATGGATATGGATGGATGGGATATGGATGGACGGGATATGGATGGATGGGATCTGGATGGATGGGATCTGGATGGACGGGATATGGATGGACGGGATATGGATGGATGGATATGGATGGATGGGATATGGATGGATGGGATATGAAGAGTGAGGGGAAGGAGGAGGCAAGGAGAACCCCAAGGTGCTCCAGCAGCTGAGGGGACTTTGGTGCCGTTCACTGAGACGGGCAAGACAGAGTGAGAACTGGGCTGGGGATGAAGTTGGACATTCTTCACAGTCTCGTGTCCAGGCTCGGACAAAGCTCCAGTGAGTGCAGAATCAGATCAATCTGCTTTGCTGTTTAGTCTAGTCTGTGTGTGTTTTTTGAAGTCTGAGCATGTCCCATGCTCCACTGTGTCCTTGGTGGTTCCTATCAAACCCCGACAGGGGTCCGGTCCCTCCTCCTCGTTATTCGTTTGTCTGTCTTTGAGGCCGAGTCTCACTTTGTCGCCCAGGCTAGAGTGCAGCGGCACGATCTCGGCTCATGAAACTTCCACCTCCTGGGCTCAAGCAATTATTTCACTTAGCTGAGGCCACAGGCGTGCACCACCACGCCTGGGTAATTTTTGTATTTTTTGTAGAGACGGGGTTTCCCCATGTTGCCCGGGCTGGTCTCTAACTCCTGGCTTGAAGCCATCCGCCTGCTTCAGCCTCCCAAACTACTGGGATTACCAGTGTGCACCGCCCGCTACCCGGCCTTCTTCTCTTACTAACTCCACCTCCCCTGTCTTGGCAGCTGTAAAGGACCTGACCAGAATGTGGATGTGACCAGGGCGCACCCTGACTCCCAAGGGAGGCGGCGGCGACCTGACCGGGGGGCGCGAGGAGGCCAGGTGTTTTACAACAGCGAGTATGGGGAGCTGTCCGAGCCAAGCGAGGAGGACCACTGCTCCCCGTCTGCCCGCGTGTCTTTCTTCACAGACAACAGCTACTAAGCAGCATCGGACGAGGCCCCCAGCACTTGGGGGTTCAGGCCCAGCAGGGCGGGCAGAGGGCTGGACACCCAGGTTGGGAACTCGTCTGGTTTAACTCTGGTGGCACAGGAGTGTCCTTCCCTCTCTGCAAGCTTCCCAGCTGGGAAGAGCAGAACTCCAGGCCCGAGGCCCCTGGGATTCTGTCACCACAACTGGCCAGGGCCACGCTCCAGCTGCCCGGGCTCCTCCCCCTGAGATTCAGATGTCATTTAGTTCAGCGTCCACAAGTGCTGGCCCCAGGGCCAGCCCTTCCATGGGAATGTCTTTGATGACCTCTTTCATCACACTGGGTGGCGGCTGGTCCCTGTTTTCCCGTGAGGAATCTGGTCTGGGAGTCACAGTGATGGAGGTCAAGGCACACCGGAGCAGAGTCTCCCAAACACCGTGTCCTCCACAGGCACACAGCCATTCTTCCCACGAGGCCGGCTGGCCTCACCCGCCTCTTCACAGTTGAAGGGAGGGGGCTATGTTTCCATCTCAAAGAAACAAGGGAGGAATTTGCAGGGTCCTCTTCTGGGCCTGACCAAACAGGTAACTAGCCCCTGGGGTGGCCGCCGGTATGACAGACCGGCGACACAGGCAGCCTGCACACCTGAGCCTGGGTGTCAAGAGCCATTCGGCAGGTCTTTTTCTTTTTTTTTTTTTTTTTTTGAGACAGAGTCTTGCTCTGTCGCCGAGGCTGGAGTGCAGTGGCCGGATCTCAGCTCACTGCAAGCTCCGCCTCCCGGGTTTACGCCATTCTCCTGCCTCAGCCTCCGGAGTAGCTGGGACTACAGGCGCCCGCCACCTCGCCCGGCTAGTTTTCTTGTATTTTTTAGTAGAGACGGGGTTTCACCGTGTTAGCCAGGATGGTCTCGATCTCCTGACCTCGTGATCCGCCCGTCTCGGCCTCCCAAAGTGCTGGGATTACAGGCTTGAGCCACCGCGCCCGGCCGGCAGGTCTTTTTCAACAGCTTCGCAGACTGTATAGCTGCTGTGAAGAATTTGCTTTCCAAATTCAGCGTGGAAGGCGCCCAGGAACAGTTACACTGAGTCTAGATGACTCTGGCGCCCGCCCCCGCTCAGGGCCGGCAGAGCAGTCAGCGCCTCTGGAGAAGGCCCCCCGCTCTCCCACCTGGCCCAGACTCGAAGGAGCCTGGGTCTGGAGCTGCCGGTCTGGTTCTTCCCTTTAGAGCCTGGACCTGCCACCTGCGGCCCCTCCCAAGCCATGAACCAGCTCATGAGAGATGAGCACCATGGGATCCACTCAGGAAGGCTCGGGGCTGGCACGAAGGACCCCCCAGCATTGCCCTGTGCCACCCAGCACTCAGTGGACATTCTGGGGCCCTGCCTCCGGCCTTTTCCTGGCCTGCGCCTGACATCGGCACCCTGGCTGGTCAGAACGCCACCCTCCCAGAGGAGCAGCCGGAGATCCTCTGAAGGCTGGAGCCATTCTGCTCAGGACCCCTATCCCAGCTCAGAGTGCCCCAACACGTCACCAGGAGAAAGACCCACGTCCCCCTGTTAGAACCACGGAGACTCACCACCGCCCTGACTCCCCAAACCCACTCCACAAGACGCTTGCAGGACAGGCTCCACGCAGCGAGCAGGGGCTCGCTCAGCTGACCCTCCCGTCCCCTCCCCTCCCACCTCCCTTCCCACCTCCCTTCCCCTCCCCACCTCCCCCAGTGCGTGTTACTCCAGGATACGTTGAGTGCATGTATAAGGTCATCTTCATTGTCCTGGGACCGCCCCTTCCTCCGCACCTCCTCCAACGTGGGACTGGCATGTCGGGTTTCCCTAAGAGGAGCCCGAGGCTGTTCTCTGCAGAGGACCAGCCCGCCCCGTGCGCACCTCTCCTCCTCGCTGCCCACCCAGGCATGTACCGGGAAGAAAACCAACTATGCCTTTCTAGACCATGTTCTCAGAAAAGATGGAAAATATTTAACAAGAGATAATAATAAATCTGGTGCCAGTCTGTGTGTATGTGTTGGGGACAGGAGTGTTGCTTTTGTTGTGTTTGCTTCTGTAATCTAAATGGGAATACAGAAAAGTCCCCACACTGGGTTTGGACTTTTTTTTTTTTTTTTTTTTTTTTTTGAGACGGAGTTTCGCTCTTTCGCTCAGGCTGGAGTTCAGTGGCACGATCTCAGCTCACTGCAACCTCGTCTTCTGGTTTCAAGCGATTCTCCTGCCTCAGCCTCCTGAGTAGCCGGGATTACAGGCACCTGCCACCATGCCCAGCTACTTTTTATATTTTTAGTAGAGGTGGGGTTTCACTATGTTGGCCAGGCTGGTCTCAAACTCCTGGCCTCGGCCTCCCAAAGTGCTGGGATTACAGGCATGAGCCACCATGCTCGGCCGCTTTTCTTGTTTTGGTTGGTTGGTTTGTAGAAATGAGGTCTCACGGTGTTGCCCAGGCTGGATTTGGACATTTTAACTTTCCATTATAATTGACTGAATTTAGCCACTGACCTTGACGTATGCGTCAACCCAAGTGTCCACCAACATGGAGTCCTCCCGTGCCCAGGCCTGAGCTGCTCTCCAAGCCCAAAGTATGCCCCTGTGTGGTGGTCACTGAAACACCTCCCCACTCCCATCCTATACCACTTTCCTAGTGGGGCTGCACTCACGCTTCTGGGCTCCTCTGGTCCTTCCTGTCTTGGACCTTCAGGGCTGGGCTCAAGTGTCCGTCCAGGTTCCAGCCACCTTCTCACACCCAGAGCACCACTCACTCCAGGCTGCGTGGATGGAAACAGCCAGTGAGCAGGGAGGGAGGAGTCACACCAGGCTACACTGTGTGCCCACCGTGAGGGCCCCTTGGTCCCTCCTGCCTCCCAAGAACCTTCTCACCTTCTCCTCTCAGGCTCCAGCCCTTCTCCAGGTGCCATCACCCGCCTCTGCCTCCTACCTCCACCCCAGCCCTTCACTCTTCATTTCTGCCAAGAGCCCTTAGTCACCTGCTTGAGGGAGGTTTGGGGCCCAGGACATGTCCGAATGTCCTGTGATGCTGTTGCCCCATGGCGTGGGGCACTGCTTAGGCCCAGGCGTTCGTGTCCAGCAGGCAGAGCTCCTGGGTGGCTGCTCAGAGCCACACATGGTCCTAAGACCTGGCGTTGGAACTTAAAGGCCGCAGCCCCTGCTGTGGAGTGAAGAAGAACGAGGAGGAAGACCAGAGGGACAGGCAAGGGAGGGGAGTGGGAGGTGGGACAGGAGGCCACCGGGGCCCTAGGGCCTGAGAGCCCAGCGTTGGGTCTGTTTCTTATTTTAAGGCTGGAGGGGCATTCTGAGACGGGCTGACGTCTTTGACTGACATGTTTGCTCTGAGAAGGAGGAATCTCGAAGGAGCTTGGCGGGGCCTGCAGGGGGCAGCCCCAGGGGTGCGAGGATGGCTCTGGAAGGCCCTCTGGAAGAGGAGCTCCGTTATTAGCTGCCTGAATCCAGTGCAGAGTCCTACAGACACCCACATCAGATATTTGGGGAAAATCTTTTCCTCAGTGGTCTTCTCCAGCCGCCCCGCGACCTGCATCCTTGACGCCTCACCTGAGGCCCTGGGTGTCCTTGGCTGAGGAGGGGTTGAGCCAAAGTCCCAGGCAGCCTGGGAGGATGTTACAGGGACGGAGAGCCTGACTCCAGCCCAGGGTCTTTGTGGCTTTCTCAGTTCTGGGAGGCAGCAGGTCCAGACGGGAGGAAGAGCCCAGAAGAGAAGGGGGAGCACAGGAGCAGCAGCCGGGTCTGCAGGGGTGCCGGGGTCCTGGCGGGCTGGGAGGCAGCAGGTCCAGACGGAGGAAGAGCCCAGCAGCGGGGAGCACAGTGAGCAGCCGGGCCTGCAGGGTGCCGGGTCCTGGCGGGCTGGGAGACCGGGTCTGCAGGGGTGCCGGGTCCGCGGGCTGGGAGACCGGGGTCTGCAGGTGCCGGGTCCTGGCGGCCGAGGCCGGGTCTGCAGGGTGCCGGGTCCTGGCGGGCTGGGAGGCCGGGTCTGCAGGGGTGCTGGGTCCTGGGCGGGCTGGGAGGCCTCGGGTCTGCAGGGGTGCCGGGTCCCATGGCTGGGAGGCCGGGTTCGCAGGTGCCGGGTCCTGGGCGGGCTGGGAGGCTGGTCTCGCAGGGGTGCCGGGTCCCGGGCGGGCTGAGGCCGGGTTCGTGGGTGCCGGGTCCTGGCGGGCTGGGAGGCCGGGTCTGCAGGGGTGCCGGGGTCCTGGCGGGCTGGGAGGCCGGGTCTGCAGGGGTGCCGGGGTCCTGGCGGGCTGGGAGACCGGGTCTGCAGGGGTGCCGGGTCCTGGCGGGCTGGGACGGGTCTGCAGGGGTGCCGGGTCCTGGCGGGCTGGGAGACCGGGTCTGCAGGTGCCGGGTACTGGCGGGCTGGGAGACCAGAGGGCTGCCGGGAGGACTCCCACCCTAGATGCTCATTGTGCTCGGGCGGAGGGAATCCAAAAAGCAACTTCCAGCACCGACACAGGCTCCCCTCCCTCTCATTTCCCCACCCCATTGCCACTCCCGGGCCACTCCACCCCAGTAGGCCCAAATCGACTTTGTTTTTTGTTTTTTGGTTTTTTTGGAGACAAAGTTTCTCTCTGTCACCCAGGCTGGAGTGCAGTGGTGCAGTCACAGCTCTCTGCAGTCTTCACCTCCTGTGCTCAAGCAAGATCCTCTCGCCTCGGCCTCCTGAGTAGCTGGGACTACAGGGGCTCACTATACCTAGCTTCCGGTAGACTCGAAGCTGTGTGCTTAGTCCCGATAATCAGCCACAGTGTCCAAGGTGCTGTCCAGTCCCCGGGTCACTGGGGCCATCTCCACCCCGATCTCTGCATGTGGATTCGGGGGGGGGACCATAGCGTCACTGAGAGGCGGCTGCCTTTGTGCCTTTGGCAACCACCAAATGAGGCCTGGGTCTCCTCTGCCACTGGGCAGAGAGCCTGGAGCAGGCTGGGCTCTGGGGGCTCCTCAGGGCTGGGAGCAGAGGATGGGATATCAGGCGTGGCACCCTGCAGCTGGTGAGCCTGAGCCCAGCACCTCCCCTCAGAGTCTCGGTTTCTCAGTCATGGCTGCCACCTTGCAGAGCTGTGGTGATAAAAGCCATAAGGCCCCAGTGGTGCTGGGGAGACCCCACCCAGGTAAAAGCCCCTCTTCCGACCAAGTGATGTGAACAGGGCATGTGGCCCCCACTGACTCACCCACCCACCCACGCAACAGTTAACACCACATGCTCCCACCCATTTCCCATGTGCCCGATGGACTGAAGGTTTGTGTCCTCCTGAAATGCACGTGTTGAAATCCTACCCCCAGTGTGATGGTGTTAGGAGGTGGGGCCCTTGGGAGGTGAGTAGGTCATGAGGGTGGAGCCCCTGGGAGTGGGATTAGTGTCCTTACAAGAGGAGGAGCTCCCTAGCCCCCTTTCCACCGTGTGAGAAGTCAGCTGTCAGGAAACCAGGAATGGGCCTCACCAGCCCCCGGAGCTGCCTGCGCCTTCATCTTGGCCTTCCCAGCTTCCAGGACTGTCAGAAAGAAATGTGAGCCCAGCCTCAAAGCAACGTGCGTAGGGGAAATGCGTCCCTCCTGAGAGCGAACTGGGAGGTGTCTGAGGTCAGCAAGCACCCCCCACTCCCCCCACCCTTGTTCGGCTCTGGAGGAGTATCTGGCTGCAGCCGCCACCGCGGGGAGAGGGGACAGTCTCCCCTTCCTGGGCTGAGTGGAGGACACCACCTTCCCC